CTTCAACATCCATAAAAAAATCACACTAGCTCACCAGCAATGGATCCAAACCAAGAAGAAATCCCTGATTTACCTGAAAAAGAATTCAGAAGGTCAGTTATTAAGCTAAAATCAAGGAGGCACCAGAGAAAAGCAAAGTCCAATTTAAGGAAGTAAAAAATGATACAAGAAACGAGGGGAGAAATCGTCAGTGAAATAGATAGCATAAATAAAAAACAATCAAATTCCTGAATCAAAACTTCAGGAAACAATGGATGCACTTACAGAAATGCAAAATGCTCTGCAAAGTCTCAGCAATGGAATCAAACAAGCAGAAGAAAGAACTTCAGAGCTCAAAGACAAGGTTTTTAAATTAATCTAATCTGAAAAAGAAAAAATAAGAAAATATGCCTCAGTATGCTGATTGTTTTTTACTTTATTTCCAAATTTGAGGTAATTTTTCATAACAATTTCCCATGAAAACAAATTTTTTGAAAGTCTCACAGAGTCTTGATTAACATTTTGAATTTACAAGAGGAATGTGAGGTGGCATCGTAGGTCAATTTCTCTTTCTCTTTTCTGGTTTCCAGACATTTCCCTTTGATTGCTAGTTTTTGCTGTTGCAATATCGCAGGCAAGAGATACAAAGGACCTGAATTTAGGCAATAGCATTACTTTTTTTTTTTTTTTATTAGGTTTACATTTAAGACAAGACCTTTCCTTATTCTTATTCTTCTTATTCTTACACTATGGGGCTATTGTATCATGATAAATATAATCTTCTCTCATAATCATTAGTTAATCTCTTCAGCAATATACGTAACTACCATCTAATTCTCAGACCCTATTTGAATTTTACTAGTTGTCCCAGTAATGTCCTGTCAGGTGCAGTTCCTTAATCTTTCCTTGACTTTTGTAGCTGTAACACTTTTGAAGATTACAGTCGAGGTATTTTATGTAATGAACTTTAATTTGGTTTGTCTGACACCTCCCTCACGATTGGAATCAGATTATGCATCTTTGGCAGGAATATAACAGAACTGACACTATATTCTCCTAATGGCAGCCTATCAGGTGCACACAATTTCTGTATGTTCCATTATGATGATGTTCATGTTGATCGTTTGATTAACATAGGACTGGACAAGCTTTTCCACTGTAAATTTACTCCTTTTTCCCCCATTTGTAATTAATAAGTATCTGGTGGGGAGAATCTATGAAAATATATAAACATACTTATCAATCTATTACTTAAATTGATCCCTGTGAGCTTGTGGTTTTGTTTTATGTAATGGGTTATAATTTGTTAACCATTATTTTGATGCTGAGATTGACTCAGATTTGACCAGTGGGAGTCTATTTAAGATGGTTTCAGTATGCCCTTGACATGTTTCCAACATTATTCTTTGAGCACTTCCTTACTTTGTGGCACAAGATGATCCAGTCTCAATTTGTGTTTTTTCTGAATCAGCCATTTCTCCAAGGATCCTTGGTTCCTTTTAGTGGAGAATGATACTTAGAATCCAAGATCTGGGCATTACGCATGCTCATTATCACTAGGGTACCTTTGCTACTAAGTGTTCTAAGTGGACAAAGCCAGAGGAAATACACACACACAAATACACATATATGTATACATATAGCATATATTCATATATGTACATACACATAAAAATATATATACACATATATTTACATCTATATTTATTTCTATACTATATATAGTTGGCCCTCTGTATCCATGGGTTCTGCATCCTTGGATTTGACCAACTGCAGGTCTAAAATACTTGAGGGCTGGGTACAGGGGCTCATACTGCTAATTCCTGGACTTTGGGAGGCTGAAGTGGGAGGATCACTTGAGCCCAGGAGTCTGAGACTAGTCTGGGCAACACAGGAAGATCCCATCTCTACAAAACAAGAGAAAAACAATTCAAAAATAAAACCACAATAAAAAGTAACATGCCACTGAAAGTACATTAAAAATGGTAACTTTTATGTTACGTATATTTTACCATAATTTTTAAAAAACTAATATCTCCTAGTAGAAAAAAAGTAACAATAAAAAATAACATAAATTAAAAACCAAACATAGTATAACCACTATTTACATACCATGTATATGGTATTAGGTACTATAAGTAATCTAGATATGATTTAAAAGTATAAAGAAGATGCTTTAACAGAATGTAAGAAAAAGAAAAAGAGTATACAGAAGGAAATGTGTAGGTTATATGCAAATACTATGGCGTTTTATGTAAGGGACTTGAGGATCTGAAGATTTTGGCATCTGTGGGGGGCCTTGAAACATTCCCCAGCTGGTATCAGTAGATGACTATATATTTTAAGCTATGAATTTGCACCGATATTTCTAATTTTAATCCTACATTAGAGTTCATTTCTCTCTTTTCATATTTGTAACTTTCTTCTCTGACAGTCTGAAACTGGACTCCAATTATTCTTAATATATTTACTGATTCCATCAATCCTTCTGAATGTAAGCAACCTCCCAGTCACCGCTGCCAGTCCTCTGCAGAACCCAATACTCTGCATCAGGCTGATGCTGCCACCCTCCCTCACACCACTGTCCTCTTCATCTTACCTGTGGTCTGACACCTCTCTCTGGGTCTCTGACACCCCATCCCTACCAAGCACAGATGCCTTCTTGCTCTACTTGACCTTTAAGATTGAATTGTTCCAGGAATGGAAAGCAAAGGAAGAGGGAAAGTGTCTGTAATTTCCTTAACATTTTTATTTTATTTTATTTTTTTTGAGACGGAGTCTCGCTCTGTCACCCAGTCTGGAGCACAGTAGTATGATCTTGGCTCACTGCAACCTCCGCCTCCCAGGTTCAAGAGATTCTCCTGCCTCAGCCTCCTGAGCAGCTGGGATTATGGGCACCCGCCACCACATCCGGCTAATTTTTGTATTTTCAGTAGAGATGGGGTTTCACCATGTTGGCCAGGCTGGTATCGAACTCCTGACCTCAGGTGATCTGCCTGCCTTGGTCTCCCAAAGTGCGGGGATTACAGGCATGAGTTACCGTGCCCAGCCCCTTAACATGCTTTTTGAAGCCATCCTTTTTACCATTACAAACAATATTGCAATGAATAAGTGTCTATGACAAGGTTGTGAACTTGCTGCATCAAAGAGCACGTGTTGTTGATTCTTCACATTGACTTCCATAGAAGTTAACAATTTACACATCCACTTACAACACAGAATGGTGCTTGCAATCATTTAAAAGAAAGATAATTCTAACCCATAGAAAGACCTAAGAGTTACGTGATGATTTTTGCAAAACTTAAGACAACTTATTTTCTCTTTTGGAAATACATTTATTGGTACACAAATCAAATTTCCTACTATTCAGTTTCTTATAAACAAAAATGAAACAAAATTTACCTATCCAAAGCAAATTTAGGAACATAAAACAACCATCAAACAGGCGGGGTAAAAAATAACTATAAGAACCCCCAGGCTGCGCACAGCAGCCTGTGCCTGTAGTCCAGTTGTCTGGCAGGCCGAGGCAGCCTCCTGACGATCCCTTGAGCCTAGGAGTTCGAGTCCTTCCTGGGCAGTCTAGCGAGACTATGTCTCTAAATCTCTAAACCAAACCAAATACACAACAATGACAACAACAAAGTTTTGGAAGAACTGTCAGAAACATAAATTAGGACCCTAAGATAAGTAGAATTTAGTGCAGCAGCTCTGCAATTTACACGGCAAAAATTACAACCCTAAAAAGCAGGATGACACAAAGCCCGAAAGTAATTTTCTACCAACCTGGTTGGTCAGTTACTTGTCAGAAAACTGTTTTCCAGATTATGAGCTTAAATTCTTTTTACAGACTGGCAACGGTATCAGGACGCTTTTTCGAGTGTCCCCTGCTTTTGCCTCGGGCATGTCAGAAACTGGATAGGAGTTTGAAGTTGAGCAGTTTGTCCAGGATTTCCTGGGTTTTAGCACTGAACGCGCTGCGTCCCTAGCACTCCTTCAGTTCCAAGCAAACCTGCTTCTTGGCCACTGTCGGACCAGACTTGCGTCAAGTACAGTCGCCACTACACAGATGTGGCTACTTAAATTTAAGTCAAACACTTATTTATTTTTGAGATGGGGGTCTCACTCTGTTGCGAAGGCTGGAGTACAGTGGTGCGATCTCGGCTCACTGCAGCCTCGACCTCCTGGCTCAAGCCATCCTCCCCGCTCAACCTAGGACTACAGGCTTGCGCCACCACGCCCAACGGCTGATTTTTGTATTTTTAGTAGAGATGGGGTTTCGCCTCCAACTCCTGGCTTCAAGCGCTCTCCTGCCTCGGCCTCCCAAAGTGCTGGGATTACAGGCGTGAGCCACCCCGCCCAGCCCTAAATTAAATAAAATTTAAAATTCAGTTCCTCAGCCGGCTCAACATCATAAATGTGTCCAGTGGCTGCCTTAATAACGCAGATGTAGAATATTTCCCTCATCCCAGAGAGTTCGATCTGACAACGCTGAGGCAGACAGTTGAGAGTTTTTTAAAAAACAAAAACAAAAAGCTCGGAAACCGCTAGGCTCCACCACCTATAATAACCAACGGGCATTATTACTTTCTCCAAATGGGATGAGGAAAAAACTACGCTAAGGAACACCACGCAGAAAATCTGCCGAGGCACCGGCCAGCGGGCTTTCTCTGTGAACGCAGCCGACGGTCATTTCCACAGCGGAGGCCGTCGTCCGTCCAGCGAGGTAAGAAACTTGTAGGACGCCCGGAACTCCCAGAGCGGTGGGCGTTCAAGGGTCAGGACTCCTGAGATGCAACTGTCCAAAGCGGTGGGCGCTCGTAGTCACCCGCTGGCCCTGGGCTCGGGAGCCTCCAGCGAACCACTCCCGCGCGCACCGCATCTGACGCCGGCCGGGGAGCGCGCGGCCGCAGGGTGGGCGCGTCCCGCACGCGCGCAGGCCCGCGTCCCGGAGACAGCCGGCAGCCAATGGGGCGGGGCGTCGCGCGCAGGGGGCGGGGCCGTGACGCGCCCTCCTCGTGACCCGGCTCTCGGCCTGCGCTCGCGGAAACCGGAAGCGGCGGCTGTCAGCGGTGCCGGTTGGGGGCGGAGAGGTGGTGGTGGGCGCCCTGGGGTGTGTGAGCCCCGTGATGGAGCCGGGCCCGACAGCCGCGCGGCGGAGGTGTTCGTTGCCGCCGTGGCTGCCGCTGGGGCTGCTGCTGTGGTCGGGGCTGGCCCTGGGCGCGCTCCCCTTCGGCAGCAGTCCGCACCGGGTCTTCCACGACCTCCTGTCGGAGCAGCAGTTGTTGGAGGTGGAGGACTTGTCCCTGTCCCTGCTGCAGGGTGGAAGGCTGGGGCCTCTGTCGCTGCCCCCGGACCTGCCGGATCTGGATCCCGAGTGCCGGGAGCTCCTGCTGGACTTTGCCAACAGCAGCGCAGAGCTGACAGGGTGTCTGGTGCGCAGCGCCCGGCCCGTGCGCCTCTGTCAGACCTGCTACCCCCTCTTCCAACTGGTCGTCAGCAAGATGGACAACATCAGCCGAGCCGTGGGGGTGGGTACAGGACCACGTCCGGGACTGTGGCGCGGGAGAATTGGGACAGGAGGAGGATGTAATGATGGTCAACGCTGGGGGCCTCAGTTTCCCCAACAGTAAGAAAAAGGGGTTGGACTGGGTCTGTGGAGTTGGGACATCAGAAAAAGGGGGTGGCATTATGGGGCTTGGGGTTTGGGTTTTTGCTTCCATGAATGCTGTTGGACAGCTTTGGTTCATATAGGTGTGATTGGTTTTCTTGGGGGTCCTGATTCCTCAACCCTCTTCCTCTTCCTCCGCCCACTCCACCATAGCTTCTCGTCATCTTCTCCTGGAGTTCCCGGGAAGGATCCTTTTCTGAAACAGGTGGGATGGAGACACTGGTAGTGGTTGGGAATTTGAGCTTTGTAGCCGGAAATGTTCCATGTCCACCACCTTCTAACTATGTAACCTTGGAGTAATTGTCTTCTCAGAACCTTAGTTTCCTCCTCTATAAAGTGGAAAGAACAGCTGCCTAATGCGGCTGTTGGAAGAATTAAAAGAGATATTGCCTGTGACTTCATCTTTGTGATATAGACAGTCTGGAGCTAGCGGCCAGGAGTCCAGTTCCATTCTGCTTATTAGCGGTATACTCTGGGCAAGTTACTTACATTCTCTGTCCTTGTTTACTAATCTGTAAAATGGGGATAGGCTGGGCGCGGTGGCTCACGCCTGTAATCCCAGCACTTTGGGAGGCCGAGGCGGGTGGATCACGAGGTCAGGAGATCAAGACCATCCTGGCTAACAGAGTGAAACCCCGTCTGTACTAAAAAATACAAAAAATCAGCCGAGGGTAGTGACGGGCGCCTGTAGTCCCAGCTACTCGGGAGGCTGAGGCAGGAGAATGGTGTGAACCCAGAAGGCGAAGCTTGCAGTGAGCCGAGGTCGCGCCACTGCACTGCAGCCTGGGCGACAGTGCGAGACTCCGTCTCAAACAACATAAACAACAACAACAACAAATTAGAAAACTGACACATAGTAATACCGCTAAGTAAATGGGAGGTAAAATTTTAAGAAATTGTAAGACTGCACTTCATTCTTGGTACCTTGAGGGTGTTTCTAGTTGTGTGGTACCTGCTGTGAGGGCCTTAATTTAAAAAAGAAAAACAGACACAATTCCTGCTCTTAAGTACTTTATAAAGTTTAGACTAGGAAAATATTAGAGTGTCAGGGTTGTTGGGAGTCACGAGGTGTGGGCCGGATATGTTTGGTAAAGGAAAAACATGAGGAATAACACTGGGATTGGAGAATGAGAAAGTTCCTCTTGTATTAAGGGGACAGCAAGTAGTCTCATGAAAATGTGGTTGGAATTATTTCATAAATTTAAACTTGTCTAAACTTGTTTATAGTTGCACTAAATATAAATTTGTATCTAGTTGTATCCTGCTTTAAGTCAGCCTGTTATTATTTAAAATAAATCTGTCATGGCTGTGTGTGGTGGCTCATGCCTGTAATCCCAGCACTTTCGGAGGCTGAGGAGGGGCATCGCCTGAGGTCAGGAGTTCGAGACTAACCTGACCAACATGGTGAAACCCCTGTCTCTACTAAAAATACAAAAATTATCCGGGTGTGGTGGCATGTGCCTGTAGTCCCAGCTGCTCTGGAAGCTGAGGTAGAAAGATCACTTGAGCCTGGGAGGCCAAGGTTGCAGTGGGCCGAGATTGCGCCCCTGCACTCTAGCCTGGGCAACAGAGTGAGACTCCATCTCAAAATAAATAAATAAATACGTAAAAATAAAAATCTGTCATTTTACATAAATGGGGAATTTATTGCGTTAAATAAATTCTGTAGTCAACCCTTTTGTAAAGAGCATGTGTTTTTGTTTGTTTTTTCTTTTTTTTTTTGAGACAAGTTCTCGCTCTGTTGCCCAGGCTAGAGTGCGGTGGTGTCATCTCAGCTCACTGCAGTCTCTGCCTTCTGGGTTCAAGTGATTCTCCTGCCTCAGCTTCCTGAGTAGCTGGAACTACAGGTGTGCACCACCACACCTGGCTAATTTTTTTATTTTTAGTTGAGACAGGTTTCACCATGTTGGCCAGGCTGGTCTCGAACTCCTGGCCTCAAATAATCCACCCACCTCGGCCTCCCAAAGATTTGGGATTACAGGTGTGAGCCATCACACCTGGCCAAGGACGTATTTTCAAGGTAAATAAATTCATGTTTACATGCAGTATTTTCGAGGCACACTTGCATTGGGTATAGCAAGGAATATATATCTTACTATCACTTTAAAACATAGTACCTAAGACATGTCCCTATCAACTGCAGCAGGATATGATATAGCATCATATTCAGTGTTGAGCGGTTAAGATGAGTTGTTTTAGGGTTCCATTTACTCTAAAGAACAAGTGCTATTGTGGGCAGAATGGCCAGGGATCATGATGCAAAGTGTGGGTCTTTGGAGGCAGCAAAGCTTTTCTCATATGTGTAGGTACTGTGGAATTAAAAAGAGGCTAAAAGTAGCACCTCAAACTCTAGTGTGCAGTATTATAGGCATCACCCAATCTGCATATGAATTTCTATATGAATTCCCCACTACCCAGAGGAGGCTTCCCAGTGGGGGAGTTGTAGAAACCCCCTTCCTCTCCCTCAGATTCTACCAGCAACCTGGGTACCCAGCTCAACTCACCCTGATGTGAAAGGAAGTAGATAAATAGGTGAAAAGAGGCAGGGAAACTTTTTTTGTATTTTCTCTCCAACTCATCCTAAGCCTTGGTCTCGGCTCCCCTTGTTTCCCCAGTAGAGCTGTATATGATTCTTTAGCTCAAAAACATGACTTCTACAGTTCTGAGCTACTTTATAGATTTAAAAGGCTATATGGACTGGTTTGGGAGTTGAACCATCATGTATAATAATGAATTTATGAGGCCAGGCATAGTGGCTCATGCCTGTAATCCCAGTGCTTTGGGAGTTTGAGGCAGGCAAATCACCTGAGGCCAGGAGTTCGAGACCAGCCTGGGCAACATGGTGAAATTGTCTCCACTAAAAATACAAAAAAAAAAAAAAAAATTAGCCGGGCATGGTGGTGCGCAGCTACTCAGGAGGCTGAGGCAGGAGAATTGCTTGAACCTGGGAGGAGGAGGTTACAGTGAGCCAAGATAGTGCCACCACTCTCCAGCCTAGGGGACAGAGTGAGACTCCGTTGCAAAAAAACAAAACAAAAACCTATGGAAAAATGTGTCATGAGTGAACTTGAAGGAATTAGTTGTCTTTTGGGGAGGTTTATTTATCCAGTGTAATTTTTTTTTTCTTTTTTGAGACGGAGTCGCACTCTGTTGCCTAGGCTGGAGTGCAGTGGTGAGATCTCTGCTCACTGCAAGCTCTACCTCCCAGGTTCGTGCCGTTCTCCTGCCTCAGCCTCCTGAGTAGCTGGGACTACAGGTGCCCACTATCACACCCGGCTGATTTTTTATATTTTTAGTAGAGACGAGGTTTCACCGTGTTAGCTAGGATGGTCTCGATCTCCTGACCTTGTGATCTGCCCGCCTCGGCCTCCCAAAGTGCTGGGATTACAGGTGTCCTCGGCCTCCCAAAGTGATGGGATTACAGGTGTGAGCCACCGCACCCAGCCTGTTTTTTTTGAGATGGAGTTTCCCTCTTGTTACCCAGGCTGGAGTGCAATGGCATGATCTCGGCTCACTGCAACCTTCGCCTCCTGCGTTCAATCCATTCTCCTGCCTCAGCCTCTCAGTAGCTGGGATTACAGGCGCCTGCCACCATGCCTGGCTAATTTTTGTATTTTTAGTAGAGACAGGATTTCACTATGTTGGCCAGGCTGGTCTCGAACTCCTGACCTCAGGCGATCCACCCATCTCGGTCTCCCAAAGTGCTGGGATTATAGGCATGAGCCATCACGCCTGGCCTATCCAGTGTGATGTATTTTGTTTGACTCAGACTCAGTCTTTCATTTAAATTAGTTTTTAGCAAGCACCTACTATTCTTGAATATTGGGCTGGTAAAAGGATAAGAAGGAAAAGAAGGGTAAGATTCAGGCCTCAAACTATCAGTATAGTTAGGGGAAATAAAGTACCTTATATGGGGAAATAGGAAAATATCGGTGAGTGTTATAAATTGTACCATAGCAATTTAGAGCAAAAGAGTGAAAGGAATGCCAAGTTAAAGGAGGGAACAGAGCCAAGTGCAGTGGCTTATGCCTGTAATCCCAGCACTTTGGGAAGCCGAGGCAGGTGGATCGCTTGAGGCCAGGAGTTTAAGACCAGCCTGGTCAACATGGCAAAACCCCGTCTCTACTAAAAATGTAAAAAATTAACCAGGAGTAGTGGTGTGTGCCTGTAATCCCAGCTACTCAGGAGGCTGAGGTGGGAGAATCACTTGAACGTGGGAGGCTGAGGTTTCAGTGAACCAAGTTTGCACCACTGCACTCCAGCCTGGGTGACAGAGTGAGACTCCGTCTCAAAAAAAGAAAAAAAAAAAACAATGAGGAAACAGAGCAAGGCTGATTGATCAGAGGAAACCTACAAGCTGAATCTCAAGGCATTCTTTCTACCCTTCTTTAGTGTGAATGGACATGGATTGATTGAGAGAGGAGAGGAGTATAACAAGGAGAAAAAAAGAATCAAAGCCAGAAACTAGTAAGCTATTTATGTGGTACAGCAATATAATTAGTTTAACTATAATAAATTTCCATGATAAGAATCCTAGGTTCTTGTCACTTCCTTTTAGAATTTCTGGGACAGGGATCGCATATAGTTTTATTATCTCAAGGTAAAAAATACAGTGATTTCTGAAACGTGAATGATAGAACTGAGGGGTTCTCTCTTCCTTAGAGTCATACTTGCTCCTTTTAGTTTAAACTGATAGGGATATAGTTTCATTGTGATTCAGCATTATCAGAATGGTCCTGAGGATGCTTTTGCCCCCTCAGATTCTGAATTGGTAGGCTCTGTCCTATTCTACTTGGTTTGTTTAAAATTTAGATAGTGTTTAAAATTTAGATTTATAGATCCATCCATCTACCTATCTAT